TGTCAAGATGTCACCAAGTGTGTCACCACGTGTGTTGACCCGTGCTGCAAGGAGGTGACCAAATGTGTCACCACCTGTCAAGATCCCTGCTGTGCCACCAAGTGTGTCACCTCCTGTGTGGATCCGTGCTGTCAAGATGTCACCAAGTGTGTCACCACGTGTGTTGACCCGTGCTGCCGGGATGTCACCAAGTCTGTCACCACATGCGTGGAGCCGTGTTGTCAGGATGTCACCAAGTGCAGAACCAGGTGTGTTGACCCGTGTTGTCAGGATGTCACCAAATGTGTCACCACGTGTGTTGATCCGTGCTGCAAGGAGGTGACCAAGTGTGTCACCACCTGTAAAGATCCGTGTTGTCAGGATGTCAAAAAATGTGTCACCAAGTGCCAGGATCCGTGCTGTCAGGATGTCACCAAATGCGTCACCACATGTGTAGATCCGTGTTGTCAGGATGTCACCAAATGTGTCACCACCTGCCAGGATCCCTGTTGTCAAGATGTCACCAAGTGTGTCACCACATGCCAAGATCCGTGCTGCAGGGAGGTGACCAAGTGTGTCACCACGTGTGTTGACCCATGTTGCAGGGATGTCACCAAGTGCAGAACCAGGTGTGTGGATCCGTGCTGTCAGGATATCACCAAGTGTGTCACCACCTGCCAGAATCCCTGCTGTGCCACCACCTGCCAGGACCCCTGCTGTGCCACCAGATGTGTCACCAGATGTGCCACCACCTGCCAGGACCCGTGCTGTGCCACCCCCTGTGCTCCGAAGTGCCAGGATCCCTGCTGTGCCACCAGGTGTGTCACCAGACGTGTCACCACGTGCCAGAACCCCTGCTGTGCTCCCTGCCAGAACCCCTGCTGTGTCACCAGATGTGCCACCACGTGCCAGGATCCCTGCTGCCAGGGAATGACCACCTGTGCCACCACCTGCCAGGATCCTTGCTGTGCCACCAGATGTGTCACCAGGTGCCAGGACCCCTGCTGTGTCACCACGTGCCAGGACCCCTGCTGTGCCACCACCTGCCAGGACCCCTGCTGTGCCACCTCCTGTGCCACCAGATGTGTCACCAGGTGCCAGAACCCCTGCTGTGCTCCCTGCCAGGACCCGTGCTGTGTCACCTCCTGCACCCCGAAGTGCCAGGACCCCTGCTGTGCCACCAGATGTGCCACCAGATGTGTCACCACCTGCCAGGACCCGTGCTGCATCCCAAAGTGCCAGGACCCCTGCTGTGTCACCTCCTGTGCCACCACGTGCCAGGACCCCTGCTGTGCCACCACGTGTGTCACCACGTGCCAGGATCCTTGCTGTGCCACCTCCTGTGCCACCAGATGTGTCCCCACCTGCCAGGACCCCTGCTGCATCCCGAAGTGCCAGGACCCGTGCTGTGCCACCACCTGCCAGGACCCCTGCTGTGTCACCTCCTGTGCCACCACGTGTGCCACCACGTGCCAGGACCCGTGCTGTGCCACCACGTGTGCCACCACGTGCCAGGACCCGTGCTGTGCCACCCCCTGTGTCCCCCAGTGTCGCGGCGGTGCCCGCGTGGCCGCCACCCGCTGCTCTGACTCCTGTGCCACCMCCTGTGTCACCCAGACCTGCCCCGTGTGCGGTGGCCTGGTCACCTCAGCCTGCGGCCAGCGCCGCCCTGTCCCCTGCTGTCCCAAATTCCAGACTCCCTGAGGCGGGATCCGACTGGAACCCCACAGAAATCCCACTCCTTGCGGGGTTTTCCATGTGGGATCCTACAGAGACCCCATTCCTGGTGGCATTTTCCATATGGGATCCGACAGAAATCCCGCTCCTTTTGGGATTTTCCCTGTGGGATCCCATGGAAATCCCACTCCTTGAGAGGTTTGCCCTGTGGGATCCTACAGAAATCCTCTCCTTTTGGAGTTTTCCATATGGAATCCTACACAAATCCCACTCCTTTTGGGGTTTTTCCTGTGTGATCCCATGGAAATCCCTCTCCTTTTAGGGTTTTCCATGCGGGATCCTACAAAAACCCCACTCCTTGTGGGATTTTCCATGCGGGATCCGACACAAACCCCGTTCCTTTTGGGGTTTTCCATCTGCGATTCCCAAAATTCCACTCCGCGGATTCCGGGCCTCACCATCCTCTTCCTCACGTCCTTTTTTTTTTTTTTTTTTTTTT